GGGGGGGGGGGGGGGAACAGTGATTCAAATACTTGTAGTGTGAGGAATAGAAAGGGGAAATCTTGGAAAGCATTTAAAGGTTTTGTGTTGCTGTCATAAGACATCAGTCACTTCTTCCATGTGGCTGAAGAGCCTGGTCTTGAGAAGGGTATGCTTGGCACACTGTATTTAATTTTACTGACTCCTCCATTCAACTGAAAGTGTAATAATGCTTCATGTTACTTAAGCATGAAGCGAATTACTGAATTTCTCTTACAGATCATTTGCTTTGCAACCACTCCAGATGGTTATTCACCAGAGGTACCACTTGTGCATACAATCAGGATAGAGGATGATAATGATAATGCTCCATATTTTACACAGGACCTTTTTGAATTTTCTGTCCCTGAAAATTCCAAACCTGGTAAGAGTTGTTTTAAATCAGTGAACACAGTTATCACTACTCAGCTCAGTTAGGTACCAGTATGACTAGGTGTAATCCTACCTTTTAATCAATTTCAGAGGGATTTCCTAAGGAGTATTTCTTTATAGCAAAGGCTGAATTTGCAAAGAGGAGCTCAAGATTTCTTAATGATTAGAAATCTCAAATTGCCATCTCAACCATGGTGAAAAGTGTTGTTTAAAAAAGTTTTTAAAACCCAAGATGATGCAGTATTCCTAAAATGATGTAAGAACTTCAGAACATTATTCTTTTCATTTTATCCATAATCACGTGTCCATAAAATGTTTCGATTGACAGAATAGTAGTTTTTAACATATTATTTTCCTAAACAACTAAATAAGTGGTGTTCTAAGGTGTAATATGCCTTTGACTAAGGTTATAGTGTTTGTCCGAGCTGATGAACAGATGTAGGACTTTTTTGGGGGGGCGGGGTGGGGCAGGGGAGAAAGTCTTGCTTCTGCCCATACCTGTAAAAGGCAAGGATTTGCCCATTAGTAAGAGGATAAAAACAGGGAGAAGGGTGAACCCCAGAGAATAAGGAATGCAAAAGCTGTGGTTTGCCATTCCTCGCTCCATCTCCTAGGCTAGGGGGTAAAGAGTAGAGAAAGTCTAACTTACTTCACAAAAAGGAAGCTTTCTTCCCCTTCATCCCAATCCACCAGTTTCTCTGAGCTGCTCTACTTACTGGGTAGGTTACTCACCTAAAGAGAAGTTCCAAAATCTGTAGGGGCTCTAGGAATGAAGTACAGCAGTGCTCCTTGTCAAGCAGTACTGCAGTTTGGACCATGCCAGAAAGCACCGAACCTCTCCCTCTATCCCACTGGCAACTCCTCTTCAGCTGTCTTTGGGATGCTCGCTGTCAAAAACACTTATCGAAGTCTAAACTTCTAGTATTTCTTCTGAGTATTACTTAACAGCTGTAATAATTACAACTTTTTCTAAGAAGGAAAAAAAAAATAGCCAGAGGATTAAAATAGACAATTTTACACTTAACTGTATTTTTACTATTTACTGTGGTTTTAGTATTATTTTTGTTTAGAGCTGAATGACAAACTAGCTATTTTCATGTAGCTAAAATAGAATGAAGTGCCTATTCAAATAATTTTTGATTATTTACAGATTTTTTTCTGGAACTAAAATTTGCTGTATTGTGTTCGCAGGTGTAATTGTTGGAAAAATGACTGCAGAGGACAGAGATGAGCCTTATACTCTGCATACTACATTGAAATACCGCATTGTGTCACAAAATCCACCAGTAACCCCAGCATTTTCTTTACATGGTGACACGGGTGTCATTTCTGTATTATTACCGCAGCTGGACAGAGAGGTGATCTTTCCTGAAGCATCTTTAGCTGACATCTAGTGCACACACATAGCAGCTTAACTCTGAATTGATAACGTGGGAATCACCAGATAAATATTTTCTGTTGCCCTCTTTTTTTGTTTCCCTTTCTAAGAAGCTTCTGAAGCTTTCCAGAGACCTGTAATTGGTCCAAAGAGTTTCTGTACAGATCTACCGTCTTCTAGCCAATCTTGGCAGGGGACCTCCTGCTGTTCTTCTGTGCAACCTATGGATCGAAAAATTCTCTCTTTATGAATCCCATGAATCACTGTTTCCTCCTAATCAAACTCCATTTGCTTCTTGCTTCTTTCAGGGAAGATGGACCAACTTTTCTGGAAGTAGTCAAGTCTTCCTGTACTGAACAGAAATAGCTCCAATATCTGAAACCTAAACACTAATATAACATTTCCTAAAATTAAAGCACAAACCATTTATTCTTACCAGCTAGCTTTCAAGTAAAGATGATAGGAGGTTTTAGTCTTTATTTTATTTGGGGTTTTTGTTTGGATAAGATGTCATATGAGAGATTGTTTACACTAGAAAAAATGATAGGCATGTGTAATTCAAAGTATTTTTAGCATAAGACAGTAATTCTAGAAAAAAAAAACACTGCTATGGGCACATCATTTTTGAGGATAAAGATAGTCATATTCTGGCATACTTATGTTGCTTCATGGCTGAAAATGCGCATTAGCAGTGTGTTGCAAAATTGTGCACTTGCAGGTACACTGCTCAACTTTTTTAGCAAGAGAAAAATGCAGCAACTGTGAGCATCTCCATGACTACTAAGGAAACAATCACAGTGACTACTGAGGGGAGGAAAGCTTGAAAAATGAGCCCACTGTCTGTCTTTTAAAGATAAACTGATGAAGTGGAACAGAAGATTTCTTTCCTCCACCTGAAAAACTTAATGCTACTTCCAGGCATTCGGAACTGGAGTTACTGTCTTGATTTACAAACACCCTTGTTTTGTGCTCAGTTGTGTCATGTCATCCTGTCCCCCCAACTCCCTCATTCCTTCTTCCCTGGGTTGTTCAGGTATTAATAAGGCTAAAAAAAGCCTTCTGCTCTTGTGACTCAAGTCAGGGATTTAAGTGGGCTGCTTATCAGTGGTCACCTTGGAACCGATAAGGGAACTGACTCCTTGTGTGCCAGAGACACTGCAAATGGCAGGTGTTGTCTTGTCATGCATGGCCCAGACAAAGGCTGATTGCAGCACTATTTCTGGTCATCCTCACTGAAATAAGACATGCACTGAAATACTTCACCAGCTGGAAACCTAAGGGAATGCTCTGCCGCTCCAAAGGGCAGACATAGCAGATGAAAGTGCATCATTTGTATCTTCCAAAACTTCAGGTATTGGGAAATAATTCTGACACTGTGAAAAACTATATTACAGGATACAGGGTATCACATGCACATTACTAACAGATGCTGAACTTAGTGCTGCTTAACCTCTGAAAAATATTTTACTTGTCTTCCCTTTGAAACTATAAAAGCCCCAGAGCTAATTGCCTCAGTTTGTAGGGGAGCACTGAATTTAGAGTAGAGTTGGGGAACAAGAGTAAAATATTTAGCTTCTACTCTTATATGTAACTGTGTTTTAAAAAAAAAGAATATGTCCAACTTCTGTATGCTTTTATTCATCTTTTCAGCTGGTACCCAGTTACACTTTGTTAGTTGAAGTGAGAGATATGGCAGGTCAGCCTTTTGGTTTGTGCACTACAGGAACGACTGTCATTAGAATCGAAGATACAAATGACAATGCACCATCCTTTAAACAGATGCAAGTAAGTCTTCATAAATGAAATGTCTGCAAAAAGGTAAAAAACCCCAAAACTATCCCCTTTCTATTTTCCTGGTGGGCAGTAACTCAAATATGAAGTTTAGTGCCCTGAAACAGTAAATGCCAATATAGACATTTGAGAATGCCCTGTTGGTTGTTTTGCTGTTTGGTAATTAGACCTATTGTTATATTAGTTGGTTTGAGTCATTTACTTTATGTCCATTTGGAGAAAGCTGACATGACTCATTCATTCACTTCTGCTGCAATACATAGTCCTAGAAATCCCATGATTTAACTATTTACAGGTAGGGGACAGATTCACTCCTAAGCAGCATTGTGACCTCAATTACCGTTTGATGAACTTTTGGCTATTTTCATGTTGCAAATGAAAATGTTAGTGTCAGTGAAGTAGATGCAAGGATTTTCACCAAGATTTTCTATGCTTTTCCTTTTTTTTTTTTTTTTCTACAGAAGTATTATTTAAACTACTTGTTCACCAATAGCTGTTACTCAGCCTTAAGTCTTTGCTTATTGCAGCCATCGGGACAGAGCCTATGTCTCAATAACTGTGTATACAGCTCAAACACCACATGGCGTTTTGTAATGCAAAATTTATGAAAAATTATTCATTATCCATGAGGAATACCCATGCTTTATCCTTTCCATTCACTACTGTAGAATACTATCAGTAATATTAATTCAGAATTACTCTTCTTGAGCTTGTACAGAGTAACACAGCTCTTTAAAAAGATAAAAAAATATGAAAAATCTTTTCATCCTTTGCCATACAAGTAGAGACATATTTCACCCTTCATGTGGTTTGTTTATATATATATATATATATATTTAATTTACTCCAGTGCCTTTTCTAATGCTTAGCTTGATCATGTTGTATGCAAATTAATATCTGTAGCTGATGTAACTGAGGGGAATGGTGCTAATTTACCTTTCCTGGAAGAAGAATTCCAGACTTAATTATGTCAGTGGTAGTTTGAGTGTATGAAGGAGCTGAGGTTACAGTGGTGCTGGGAGCAAACATTTACTGTTTCACTTAGGGTGTAAGGGTGGAATGGAGGAATGGAGAAAATATGCTAATGCATGAAACCAAAATAAATCATGACAGTAGCTTGGTAAATTGACCCCTTCAGTTTAAGTAGTCTTCCTTACTTACAGTGTTCTTCGGTCCTGCATCATGGAACAATATTCTCTGATTTAAATTGATTTTTTTTTTTCTTTTGGATATTGCAAGTATGAAACACGAGTGGAGGAAAACAGAGTGAATGTAGAAATACTGAGAGTCTCTGTTGTTGATCTTGATGAACCTGGATCGCCTGGCTCAAGAGCAGTGTATGAAATTATAAGAGGAAATGATGATCGGTCCTTTGAAATTACAACAGACAAAAACACAAATGAAGGAATATTGTGTGTTGTTAAAGTAAGTAAAAATGGAACTGCTAGAGGAAAATTTGGGTGTCTTCAGGTGTTGCTTTTAAAACCAATAATCTAGAACTCATTTTTATTCAAAGAATATCTGTAACTCTCAGGCAAGTCATGCTTTCTTCCTGATCTGAACTCTCTTCTAGAGTAGATTGCATAATGCACTGCAAATGAGGCTCACGTGTGATATATAACCTACAAACCTCACCTTCCAGATTGCTTCGAGTTTTTTTTTTGTGTGCAGAATTCAAGGAATTCTCTTTGATTTGTCATTCCAGAAGAGCTTGGTGCTTTTGCCTGGTTTCACAGTTGGAATTGTTTAGGTTTAGGGATGTAGCTGGGGAATTCTTCATGGCTGGGTTTTTAACAGAAACGGGAGTGTACAAAGGAGGGTAAGGATGAACACCTCCTTCAGTCTTGCTCTCTCTAGGAGGCAATTAAACTTACTAATTCAGCATAAAGCTCTCCAGGTTTTATTTTGCAGGATGGTGACTTCTGGTTTGCTTTTCTGGGGCATGAGGGAGTCTGCATACACATAAGACTCTGTTGGTTTAGTTACTTGTTATACCCCATACTTTACAGATTTGAGGTAAAAGTGCCAGTGTATCTGTACTCCAGCATGTCCCTTTGCGTCTTCATGCCACTTTTTCGTAATGTTAAAACTGTAATAACAGGTTACTTCTAAGGAACAGAGAAGATTAATATTAAAATTTGAATATTTAAATCATAAGGTTCAAGATGCCAGGTAAATTTGGTGGGGATTTTTTTATCTATTATGTTTTGGTTGCAGGTAATCATTACAGCTTTTTCTAAAACTATTTTCTTGGTATTTGAATCCATTTGAAATTCCTTATATTTAGTGTAATGCTGTGGTAGACTGGAGAGTATTATGACTAGGATATAAATAGCTCTATTAAGTGCAGATCATGACCTTGGAGAAGTTGTCTGAAGAATAAATGGTAGATATTTACTGATCAACCCCACAAGTTCAGCTATATTTGCAATGGATGAAGTCTTACTAGGAAATAAATACAGGTGCTAGCAAGAAGTATGATTGACCTGTGTTGGAAGGGAAATACACATAACCTGAAATATTGGCCAACTAGATGCGAGAGGAGAAAATCCCCCACCACATTTAATGCCTATCTTAGTTCTATTAGTAATTGACTATCAGAGTATTTATCTAAAATTTTACAGTGGTGCTGCTTACGTTATTAGGGTTAGTTCCTCAGGTTCTTTTCCTTTGGCTAACTTAGAACTTAACTTTCTATTTTTAAATTGTGTCCTTTTACTGTGTCTCAAGCTGGGTGTTCCAGAAGGATAGCTGTCATCTTTTATAAATAGATGTGGTACAGTTTTGTCTATTTAATAATTGGGCAGTGAAAACAATATCAAGTTTTGTGTTGGTTTGAAGGAAAAAAAAACAATCTTTGTCCATCTTTGGTTAACAAAGTCCATCTTTGTTACAGGGACTGGACTATGAAAGTGCCAAGCAAAGGGTCCTTGTGATTGCAGTCAACAACGAGGCACCCTACATGCTGGCACCACATTCGCAACAACTTTCCCAGAGCACCAGCTCTGTTACAGTGCATGTCCTGGATGTGGACGAGGGACCAGTGTTTAAACCCTGCCAGTTACGCCTAGATGTTAAAGAGTGTGAGGAGATTGGCACGAGTATTGGGAGATACGTAGCAGAAGATCCAGAAACTGGAAATAGTGAAGGCATAAGGTATGAAACAGTGTTACCTACTAGTTTATTTGGAGCGCAGCATGGGTGGGACAGGGGAAAGGTGAAATAGTTGTGGATGCTGTGTGTATGTGTGTGTGTGTGTGTGTGTGTGTGTGTGTGCGCGCACATAAGTGTATATGAATACATGTATCTGTATAGGTATGCATATGTATGTACATATACGTGTGTGTGTATACTTGAGATCTTTAACTAAACAAACAAATTATTCTTAACAGCTACCGGATACCACCTGGACAATGTAATTGGATCAGCATAGATGAAAATTCAGGTGAAATCAGAACCGTTAAAGTCTTGGACCGAGATGTACCAGAAATGAGACAAGGTCAATGTGATATCTCAGTCCTCGCAATAGACAGAAGTGAGTACTAAATGTTGTGAGTATTCTTAGTGGTTTATAACAGATGTTTACGTGCAAATTTAGTGGGGGGAAAGCTACACTGGTTCAGACCAGAGGCTCACCTAGTCCATTGTCTTGTCTTTGGGATAGCTCTATCAAATGCTGAGAGAATACTATATAGCAGGAAAAGCATTTAAGAAAGAGATGCAAGTTCTCAATGTTTTCAGAATTTATCTACTCCCATTTAAGATCCTCTGTTAAGTTTAAATTGGAAGATTCTACTGTGTACTGCATTCCTTTTATTTCCTGACTTTTTAAAGTGATAGCACATGGCAGCAGTGATGTTTACAACAGGGAAATCCGAGAAAGAAAACTTTTTGTAGAAAACCTTGTTGATCTTGAAACTCTTAAACTGTTTTCTCCTCTGTTTGACTTCTTGGCATCTTGCTTTTAGACATTCTTAATTTAAAAGGAGTTCTAAGAATAACGGTATTCATTGTTGTTTGCTTTTGCACTCGCTCATTCTCAGTCGTCTGGGTTCACACCCTGTATTGCTCAGGTGATGAGCACTTACAAATTGTTCTTGGAAAGGTTGTACACACAGATTCTCATTCTAAACCAAGTTTTGGTTCTGATTTAAACTGAATAATAATCTATTCTTTTTGATTAATTTGGGTATATGCATTTATTGTAGGAAAAGACACAGTTTTGCCTCAACATCATCTAACCAACAAAATTAAATACACCTTTCACTTCCCAATTGCTAAATGTTAGCAAATGGATTATCAAAGAAAAATGTCAGGCTTATAGGTCACACTTTTCATTATAAATTACATATCTTACATTAGAAAGGAAAAATGGACTGCCTTTATAAATCCAATGGCAGGATTTAGTCTGAGCCTTATGTACTTAAACATCAGTGTGAGTAAAGAGCAGACCTTTGCAAATTGCTTTACAGCTAAAAATTCTAACTCTGTCCAAAGCTTGCATATTAAAATTAAATGTAAATTATATTTAAATTGTTTAGAACTTCTGTTGCATATAAATTAGATATGATATATGCATCTGCAATTAGGTGTCTCTAGAGAAAGTTTTAAAAAGTAAACTTGGTGTAATTTCACTAGAATGTGTATACAAACATTGACTATTCCTACGTTGGAAAAAAATGTAATTAGGGGGGAGAGCTCATTCACTTCTTGCATGTAGACTTTGATGTAGTATGTGTCACTGCTGAATCCTGCTACCGCATGATGACTCAGAGGGAAGAGGGCAGAAGAGCCCACTGTTTCTGAAAATGTTTGTGTTCCCAGGGAAGTGAGGGAAGGGAAAGTGTAATTTATTTTCTCCTTCCAAAAGTAAAAAGGCTGGAGACCTGTATTTTCTGCTTTTGATTCTCACTTTGACTTACCGTCCTTTACCGCTGATTTATGGGCTCTTTCTCCAGTCATCCTCCTTTTAGAACAGTGTCTGTTGCCACACAGATACACAGGCTCAACAGTACATTGTCTGCATGTGCAGAATATGGTGCTTTGGGAACTGTTGATCTACTCTGCAACCAGCTGAGCAAAGAGAAGCAGCCAAGAGAAAGCTGTGAGAAGTCCCTCTCTCTTTTTGGCTAAATCAGCAGCTGCTTTCCACCTTACTTCTAAACTTGGATATTACAGTTGATGATAGATATTTCATTGTGAAAGTTTGGAGGAGAGATAAATATATGAATGTTAGAAGTAAGTGCTAAAAGTAGTTATGTTTTATCTCATAGATGGCAAAACAGGCACTGGAACAATCCAAGTTTTCATCCAGCCTGGGAATAAGAATTACCCACGAATCGCTAAAACTGAGTATATAATGTGCAGAGACAGAAAACCGATCTGCCTTACTGCACAGGATGGTGATGAGTCTCCTTACAGCACACCCTTCGTATATCACATAACTGACCGTAACTTGGCTTCCATGTGGAAGATAACTCGACACAACGGTATGTAAAGACTTCTTCCTCCTCCTCACTTAGCTGTAGGTTGCCGGAGGAGGCTTTGCTACATCTCCCTTGGCTGGACTGTAAGAATAGATTGAATTAATGTGTGTTTGGAATTAGCGTAGTCAGTGGGGCTAACAAGGTAGCCCTGATGATCTCTAGCAGTTCCTCAGTTTCATTTGCCTTACAGGAGATCAAGAATATGCCAGAAATAAAAGGGAAATAGCTAAAGTATTCTTTATCATAATTGTCCTGAGTTTGAAACAGTTTTCAGAAGTTAAGAAGGTGACACTGTTGGCATCACAAAGGGAAGGAGGAGGATATTATATTCTGCCTCTTAAAGCATAAACAAGAATCTGTCCCAGCATCCTTGGGTCAGCAGTCAGCTGTTGTCTGTAATTATGATGCAAAAAGATCAGGTGGGAGAACAAAAACTTATGTGATGCCTTGCATCAACACCTCTGGAAAAGGAAGTATGCATTCATAACTCATAAGGAATTTAAGAATGAAATGGCTAATACCCCAAATTAAAATACAACTTTTCTTAGGCTGCTATTATGGTGGAGAACTAGAAAACTGAAACTTGACCTGAAATTGATTAGAAGCTGACTAAAAAAATTCTGACAGTTGTTTTTCTTAGTACTGCTGTCAGCCAGCATGTTTTTGGTAAAGCTGATCAGGGAGAAAGGAAACATTACTATCTCCCTTAATAAATTTACGTTAATTTTTATAATTTTGATAGAAGTAGATGAACAATTTATTATGAAAGGAATCACTGTTTCCAGAAATTTGCTGAATCAAAAATTTATAGCTGATGATGGCTTCCTGATGGGTGCCCTAGGATAAGAGCAGCACATGCATTTGCTACTATGTTGTCATGAATTATCCTGAAAAGGGTCTGATTCTGAAGTGTTCTGTGAAACATTTGGTAACGAAAGGCAAAAGCCAGTAAAATCTGAGAGCAGAAACATCTAAGAGTTTCGAAGTTTCTATTAGGCAAATTGAAAAAACATTTTAGGTGGTACATGTAGTTTTATATACCTCATCAGAAAGTAACCATTATGTACAATATAGACACTTTTGTACATACTTTTTACAAATGGTTTCTTTCGCCCTTTAAAACATGTGGTCACTAATCATTGCCACTAAGCAGGTCAGCAGACTAAACAGATTTTACTTCCCACTGGATATAGCCTTTTCCACTGAATGTAGCAATAGAACTAAATTAAGGAAGAGGTATAAATTAAGTTTATGTTTAATTATTCCAGTCACACTACCAGAAGTCCTTCTAACAGATTTCAGTTCAGTTGATAGTCTTTACTATAAGCCCGAGTAGTGTCATTTACTATGATGAGCTGAATCAACTTCACAGTTTCAAATTGTATGTTGTCAGAAGGCTGTATAGGGTTTGCTTCTTCAATTTTAACATTTAAAAGGTGCTGAAAGTATAAATCCTTCCAAGATGTAGTTTTGTGTCAACAATTTAAGCTAGTTTAAACTAGCTAATGTGGATCTGGTAGCAATATAGGTGTAAGGGAAGGGAAGATTGTCATTATAGTCTCATTTGTGACAACAAAGTTTCAGGTATTGTTAACACTAGATCTGGTTTTGTCTTTTTTTTTTACAGATAATTCTGTGTATCTTTCACCAAAGGATGATATTCCATTTGGAATATACAATATTCCTGTAAGTGTCACTGACAACGGAGGAAAGGTGGGAGAGAACCACATAACAGTTAACCTCTGTGATTGTGTTACTCCAACTGAATGCAATGGCAGGACCCGTTTACTTTCTGGCGGAAATGTTACTCTTGGTGTGTGGGCCATCCTTGCAATGATCTTAGGATCACTATTATTGCTGCGTAAGTACACTTGTGTTTTTTCTTTAACGTGAAGTGCAAGGCAATTAATTTTAAAATTACCTGTGAGAGCCTGATTCAAACTTGATATAAACATTTCTTTTTTTATTTAGTTAGTTGTATACCCCTCATTGCTGATTTATTGTACCTGCTCTGTTTGTATCGGTATCACAGACTTCTTGCTCTCATCGTCTAGTTACTGTGTGTGCAGTTTTGTTTATTCTTTTAAGTACATTTTATGTAAGATGTGTGTGTGTTCATGTTAGCAAGGCCAAAACACCTGCAGTCAGCACTTGGACCAAAAGAGGGTGGGATTTGTAGTGCTTACCAGATCTTGTCCTGAGGCGCGTACAGCAAAGTTTGTGAGTTTAGTGCTGGGTTTGGGATGCACTTCTCTGTGTGTAGAAAATGAATTTCCTAGAGCTTTTTGTGACCTTTGTTGTATCATGGATTAAAACACGGAGTATCTGAAACACTGGATTTTACAAGAGCCAGCATAACATTGAAGGACAGGTTGGGTACTTCCACGACAGACCAAACCCTTGAATACACGTGGTGTTACTGGGAGTTGCCCAAAGACTAACAGATTCTTAGCAGGTTAATATTGCTGTTAACCAGTGAGGCGGTGACAGTGATATGTAATAGCAAAGCCAGCTAATTTTTTTTACCAGAATCAGACATAGTCTGACTAATAACATCTTTAAAAAACAGCAGTGGACATGCTACATTAACAAGTGCTTCAGAGTTTTGTTGGTTTTTTTTTTTTCCATTTCTTGTCCATTTTTTATGGTAATGATCATCCTGTCTTGTCCCTGTTTAATCTCAGCCAGCTGTTCTAACTAAGGTAGATAGAACACTGGGACCTACACATGTTTTGAAGATTAGATAGATCCGTGTTTTATCTAAACAGGGCAGGTGCCTGAATTTGTCATATAGCCCAGAGGTGGAACTTACAGATGTGGGGATGCTCAGTAGGGGGACTGTGTGAAATGTCTGATAGGTTTTTGTCACTATCCCTTGACTGCATCCCTTCCAGAGAGACCCATTATTTTATTGTGGCTAGGTTTTACCCTGTGTATCCTCTGCCGAGTGCTGTCATGGATGTCTTGTTTCCATCTGTCAGCATCAGGAGGCAACCTGCCAGAACCACTGATGCAGACCTTGCTGACAACTGATAGCTGGCAGAAGCTAAATGAACTTGAAAGTGACTCTTGGCCACAGAGGTTTATGTGTTCAGAGATCAGATTGCTCAGTGGGCAGTTAGGCAGAACTGTTCTGTTTCTTGTGGGCTTCTTTATTTTTGAGCTATCAACTTGAAAAGAGAAGGAAAAGTAGTTCTCTGAATGAAACGTTTAGTACTTTGTTTAGGAAAGGTGTTAGCTGCTCATGATTCTTTTATATAAAGTAATTTCTGGCTGAGTCTCTGTGACAGCACAGAGTCAGATTATAGGAGGAGACAACACAAAGTAGTAGTATAGGAGGAATAAGCTGAATATAAGGAATTAAGTAAGGTTGTTCTGTTAATATAATGCTTGAAGTCCTCCAGGGTTCTGCTCAGCTTTTTTTGTGAAACAGAAGCTTCTGGTATTGGGACTTTTAGCTTGCCTGTTAGTTCCTTATGATATAATTTGACATCTGCATATTTATACATGAAAAAGTCTTTTGAACAACCTTGTTGCAGGCATATAACATGATTTTTTTTCACCTGGATTTAGTAATTTATTTTTATTACTGTGAAATCTACAGTCACAGTGTTTTCATAAAGTTTGCTTGCATTTCTTTTTGGGGAAACCAAGATGTGTTTTAGAAGAATGAAATAACTTGACAGTATAGTGAAAACTCCATGTACTGTTTGAAAAAAATGTATCTATGTACAGTTTGGAGTATGGGCATTTTGGAAAAATTCTTTTATTTAAACCATACTTGATGCTTAGGCATTTAAAATGGGTAATACAACAAAATTCATTACAGAACAGAAGTAGATACCATTATGAGGTAAAGTTCATAGTATCTTTCTCATTTATTTCCTTTCCTTAGTAATTCTGATCACAATTTGTGGCTGCTGTGGCTCTGGGGTAATGCACAGGCATGTGACTGATGATTGTGCCAATCACAATTTAATAATTTCAAATACAGAAGCTCCAGGAGAAGAAGTGATGGTAAGTTATCTATTTACTTCAATGTAGAAACATATAATTAAGATATGCATGGCACTGAGAACAGGACCACCTGCAAGTGATTTGGTAAAGGAAATAAGTAATAAATGCAGAGATGATTAGATATGCTTTGCTATTTAACAAGAATTTGAAAATTCTTACTTTAGGCAGAGTTGGTAGTACCATATATGTTTAAACATACCCTGTAGTTGTTAGTCTGGATGCTTATAATTCTTTCAGAATTTAATAGTTTGACTGGAACTTTCAGGTGAACATTTTAATGACTTCAGTCATTTTCAATGATGAGATTAGATTGAAATTTACTATTTTGTCTATGTTGAATGTGTGTTTATGGGAAAACATTATTGCTCTTCTTTGGAGAAGGACTTTTAGATTTAGAAGATTTTAATGGTAAATTACAGGTGCAATTTCTGCCCTTCCCCTGAAAAATGACCCCAAATACAGTTGATTTTTGAGCCAATGGAGATGATTGAACAGTCCATGTTCATGACACATATTCTTGCTTTTTTTTAAGATTCAGTCTACCATGAACGTAGTCCAGCCCAGGACTGCGCATACACAAGGATTTAGTTCTTCAGACTCTTCCCCTTCTCCTCTGTCCCCCACCACCTGGCTTTGCCCTCCCTGAGAAAAGATTAGTTTAAAAACCATTGAGTTTACTTCACACTGAAAACTAGGAAACCCTAATGGTGACAAGTGTCAAATTTCTCACTGGCTATGAAACATTTACTTTGTAACCCCATACTAGTTTTTCCATATTTCACCCAGTATACAGACAATGTGTTATGAAACAGAATGAAATTTATGCATATGACTGTGTGTCTAGCTTAATGGGTTACAGGTTGTTGACTTTGAAAACCAAACATTATTTTTACATGATAATTTAAGAAACTAGCATATAGATTACAGTACAGCTTTAACTGGAGTAAAGATTCAGGTTTTGGATCTCGTATCACATTTAAATGTCGGTTAATTTTTTCCCCCTTGTCATATTATCCTTTCCAAAGACCACTTATTGATCTTTATGCAATAAGTACTAAGGATAGCTTTTTGTTCAAAATATCACAGTGCAAAGCTGGAGACTTACCAGTTTTCAGTACTGACAGTTCCTGATTGCTGTTTCATCCTTTGAATTTAAAAAAAGTAAAAAAAAAAGAAAAAAGTAAAGGTATCCACACTACTGCATCTTTTTTTTAGGATCACAATATAATTCCTCTACAAAATACAAGTGATCAAGGAGGATATGGAATAAAAACAGGAGATCAACAAACATTTGAAATGGTAAAAGGAAGAGGACATACCTTGGAATCAGTGAAGGGAGGTGGACATCAGACTCTGGGATCAGTTAAAGAAGGAGGAGGACAGCCTATGATGGATACGTGTAGATACTCCTACTCAGAATGGCATAATTTCACACATCCTCGTTTAGGTGAAGTAAGTATTCTGAAACTGGATTTTGGGGGTTTTTTGAGCATAGGTTATGGTAAATATATACCGACTTTTCAAGGAGAACATGTATTTGTGCTAGAAAGGTGGCTGTCTGGTTTTGGTTTTGGCTTGGTTTTCCTCTCCATTGCTTCCCTGAATATCCTTTGGAATATTGCCCTTTGAAAAACTCATCCTTTACCTATTTTAGACATAAATATAAATAACTCTTTCTTTTCTTGGCTTAAAGTTTAGGCAGTATGCTATTTTTCATTTATAATATTTACTCACTCAGAATAATTACTCAAGCTTTTGTGAATTTTTCTGGGACTCTCTGCTTTTATTCTAACAGCTTGCGTTGTACTAATTTAAACACAATACTTACCTTAGCAATGGTACAGGAATGAATGTACAGCATTAGAAATGTAGTTACTTCATGCTTTGGAGATCAAAAACTCTCACTACTTGCCTAACTAGTTATGTGTAAATCAGTCTTCTAATTTCAAGTGGATTTTAGTTGCCTGACAGGTTATTTAAACAGGTTCTTCCTCTTTTGTTGTTACATATATGATTAGTAGAAATTATTTCTCTAATAAATACTTATATTTTGTAGTCTTAATGATATAGACCAATCATGTGCATTTTTTGTATGTAGGAATCCATTAGAGGACACACTCTGATTAAAAATTAATCAATGAAAGGTAAATCAAAAGAAATTATTTTTATGTAATATGTTTAGGATAACAATTTAAGAAAATAATAAGGTGTGTTCTCTTCCTATGCAGAAGGTGCATCTATGCAGACAGGATGAAGAACAGAAGCATTCTGAAGATTATCTCCTTTCATATAACTATGAAGGAAAAGGATCCTTGGCTGGCTCTGTAGGCTGCTGCAGTGATCAGCATGAAGAAGAAGCACTTGACTTCTTAGATCAGCTGGAACCCAAGTTTAGGACATTAGCAGAAACTTGCGTAAAAAGATAAATGTGCCTTTCACGGTGTTGAAAAAAACCTGTAAATAAGTGGCTGCCATACTTCTGCAATATTAGGTATTTTGGAATTGAGGGGGGGAGAGGTTTATCAAAGTTAATATAGACAGGTGAGAGTGTAAGTAACTCTTACTTTAAAATTACAACTTTTTTTAAATCTCTGCTAGACACATTCCATCAAAAATAAGGAATTCAAAATATTTTTTCTTTAGACTATGTTAATATAGTAATACTAGTTTCTACTTAGATTACATTTCCTATTCTTTGTGATTACTTAACAATGCAAAACCTGGTGTTGTCCTTTTAATTATTCAGCTTCAAAATGTTACTGTATTTGGCTTTGGAGAAGGAAAGCTTTTTAATTCACTGTTTCTTTGTTTTCTTTGAATTCTGTAGAAATAAACCAAAAAACATTACTGGTGAATATCAAATGCCGTGTTAATTTTTAACTTATGAACTGAGATACAAAATACCTTTTTGTCACATAAAAATACTGATGAATACATTAGAAAACTTTATATTTTGATTGAAAATTGAATATATATATATTGTATATATGTAAAATATTAAAAAATATATTTTTCTCCTAATGGGTTACCACCCATCAAACTTGCTATCCTAAGGGATTTATGGCATCACCACATAGGGTATCAGCATTGTATGCGGGTATGTATTTTTCTTTTAAGGAAATAACAGATTAAAAAAATAAAAAATCAGGAAATAGGGGTAACTATCGTACTTCAAATGAATGCAAGAGAAAACTCATGTTTACTTGATATGTTTGTACCTCGGTTTCTTGTGAGTTTTGACATAGTATCATTGCAGAAATGATGAACATTGGCAAGAGTTTTGTCTAGTGTAGCTGCCAATACGTTTTTTATTTGCCTTGTTATGGACTTCATTAAAGTGTTTCTTTCTGTAAGTATAACTTAACAGAAGATACAGCTCAAATGGATTGAGCATACACTACATTAATAATGTGTGTTAAAAATAAATTTATTTGAGGTGCAAAATTACACTCGGATAAATTGTTTTGGGTGTATTATGTGGTGATTGTAGAGGTAAACATTTACACAGATCTCTGTCAGAAATCACCTGAATCCTGTTTATTATTTTACTAGATTAATTATACATATACATTATATATATATATATATATACACACACAAGTCTGAAATACCTTTGGCAGATGACAGTAGTGAGACCTAAATGCTGCCATAAGCTATTTCTGGAATTCAGCCTCTGCTTCCCAGGTTTTATATGTTCTTAATATTTGCACTCCTGGTTAAGTAATCTGTCCTCTGCACTCTGGAAATTCTCTTGCGCTGTGAAAGAACATCTTCCTGCCTATGAGAAAGATAAGCTTGTGCAATTACTTACTTTTGTTGCTATAATTCTGCTTTTAGGATTTGCTCTGTGAACATATGCCTTAGGGGGATATTTTTTAAAATTTACTATAGCTAATGATCTGCAAAAGGAATTATCAGTAAAAACAAAGAGTTACATTGCTCCAAATTTCAGTGCACAGCTGTTGCTGACTTCCAGTGATTGCAGTTCATTCCACACAAATTATGGTTAGTAAAAATCCATAACAGTGTAAAAAATTACTGTAATCTTCTTCTTTCACAGTGTAAACGGGTTTCAGAATATTTCTGATAAGAACTAGCTGTGGTTAGTAACTTCATAGACCAATGTTAAATGTATTTGTCTATCGTTTGAAAGTGGTAATGAATTCATCCTGAAGTAGAGACACTGCCAGTGGTAAGAGTGACAGCCACCAGCAAAATACTCAATGAGAACCAAGGTTTTACAAACTTACTTTATTTAAAAAATGCATGCTGACACTACTGTTCTGAACACTACTCTTCTTTTATCACTAACGTAAATGAGTTCTGCTGTACATAGATAGGCTGATCTGTGGCTGATGTAAGTCAGGAAAGCTCTGCTTGATGGCAGTGGAGCTATGCTGAATTTATGCCAGGTGAAGACCTGTCGCCTATTGATTTCCTTGCTTCTTTGTGTCTTGCATCTTTAGTTATTGGCTATACGCTTTTTAAGGTAACATTAATGTCTTGTCTTCCCCCCCGCCTGCCCCTCCCTTAACGTTTGGTGGTTTGTTTGTTTTTGGTTTTGTTTTTTTGTTTTGTTTTAAATTATATAAAAATCCTGTAGTTCATAAAGACCTACGATAAATAACAGAATGCACTCTTGAAGATTTCTTGGTAGTGGTGTAGAGAAACCTCTGGAAATACAGGTTTTTTCCTCATGGAATATAATAGTAGTACTGTTCTAAAAGCATAGGCCAAATTTGTATGAGCTTTAATTGAGTTAGTGTTGGCTATTTTTAGTAGATGGTTGCCAACTTTTCACTCTGGAGTTAAAATAACAACCTACTGAAATGAAAAGAATGTTTTCTAGTCTAATTTACCATTAAAATGTGGGGTTTTTTTTCTTTTACATTTCAAAAAACATAGATAATTACTTGCATTTTTTTGTCAGTTTTTAAACAGCAAAAATTTGGAATCACTTCTACTTGTTTGTCTCTCTTAAAAATTAAAAATTATTAACTGAACCAGTTATTTCTGTAAAACCAAGAGTAGAAAGGAAATTGAGATGCTTTAAATGAACTGTAAAACATTGTTTTCATTGTCTTCTAATCATGTGAATGAAAACTTTGTATAAAACATTAAGGTTTACAAATCCTAAATACCAAATAACATTTGTATAAAGCTTACAAATGAAATATTTCAGAATGTATAATTCACTTGTTATGTCTTGAATCACCTTAAAAATTGTGAAGATTTCTTCTCTTCAACTGGGTAATTTGCAAACTATCTAGTTGTGTCAACATTATACATATTAGGTATATTTTGTACAACAGTGAGTAATAAATTTTTTTCAAAATAAAAGGAACTTTACAATAACAGTTCATTTCCTGTATGTGAATTAGTTTATGAAAATATGCATGCCTATTTCTGAAGGGGATTGCATTTTTAAATTAACTGATGTGTTTTTGCAATGTTATACTGCTCTAATGTGGGTACTTTTTGTCCTTGAAGCATGATCAGTGGTGAGATCTAGCTGCTATTTTATAGCACAAGCTGGCTGTTTTCTGTGGGGCTTTCTTAGTGCTTATAAAATGATCACAGAACAGTTGATGAATTTAAGATCTTAAAAGTACAAAGCATTACTCTGTCATCTCACTGATAAATTGCAAAAAATACACTATTTTCAAAATCTCTTAAGGAAAACCAATGGCAGGAGATAACTCAAACTTTCACATGTTTGGTAGTATAAAGCTGCAGAACGTATATTCCACTGGTCCCTTGATGTTTTGGATCAGTTTTGGTTATCTGGCTTCAAGGGAAGAGGTGAATTCACAGAATGACTGGGGTTGGAAGGGGGTTCACCTCTGGAGGTCATCTGGTCCAACCTCCCTGTTCAAGCAGGACCACCTACAGCTGGTTGTCAAGGACCAGATAGCTTCTGAGTATCTCTAAGGATGGAGACTCCACAACCTCTCCGGGAAACCTGTTCAAGTGCTCAATCACCTTTGCAGTGAAAATGTGTTTCCTGGTTTTCAGATGCTGCCTCTTGTGCTTCAGTTTGTGCCCGTTGCCTCTGGTCCTGTCACTGGGCACCACTGAAAAGACCCTAGCTTTGTCCTCTATGCACCCTCCCTTCAGGTATATGTTAATTAGGTCCCCCGTGAGCCTTCTCTTCAGGCTAATCAGTCCCAGCTCTCCCAGCCTTTCCTCATAGGAGAGATGCTCTAGTCCATCATCTTTATAGCCCTTTGTTGGGCTGTGTCCAGTATGTCCATGTCTCTCTTGCACTGAGGAGCCTAGCACTGAGAACAATAGTGCAGGTATGGCCTCACCAGCTGAGCAGAGGGGAAGAATCATCTCCCTTGACTTGCCAACAACACTCCTAATGCAGCCCAGGATGCTATTAGCTGCCCTTGCAGCAAAGGCACATTACTGGCTCAGGTTCAACCTGGTGTCTACTAGGGCCCTGAGGGCCTTCTCTGCCAAGCTACTTTCCAGTTGGGTTGCCCTCAGCATGGGGTTGTTCTTCCCCAGGTGCAGGACTTTGCATTTCCCTTGTTGAACTTCACAAGGTTCCTTTTGTCCCATTTCTCCAGCCAGTTGAGGTCTCTCTGGATGGCAGCACAATCTCTGGCATATCAGTTACTTATCCCAGATTTGTGCTATCAGCAGACTCTGACCCATCATCCAGAGCACTAATGAAGATATTAAACAGGACTGGACCCAATATTGATCCCTGGGGTATACTAATAGTTACTAGCTTCCAACCTGACTTTGCACTGTTGATCACCACCCTCTGGGCCTGGCCTCTCAGCCAGTTTTCGATCCACCTCACTGCTCATCCAGCCTGTACATCAACAGCTTGTCTATGAGGATCTCAATGGTGATGGTGTGAAAGGTCTTACTGAAGTCCAGGTAGACAATATCCACTGCTTTCTCCTCACCTACCAGGCCAGTTACTTAACTGTAGAAGTTTATCAAATTTTCCAAGCTTGATTTTCTTTTTTATGTACCTGAAAAATGGTTTCTAGGATTAGCTGATTCATCACTTTTCCAGGGATTGAGGTGAAGCTGCCTAGGCTGTAGTTCCCTGGGTCCTCCTTACCCTTCTTGAAGATAGGACTGACATTTTCTTTCCTTCAGTCCTTGAGCACTTCTCCCAGTTGCTGTGATCAATCAGAGATTGTTGAGAGTGGCCTTGCAATGACATCTACCGACTCCCTCAGTACTTGTGGTGTATCCCATCAGGGCCCATGGATTCGCATTTATATACATATATGGTTTGCTCAAGTATTCCCTGACCTGATCATCTTCCACCAAGGGCACATCTTCCTTTCTTCAGCCTTTCTCTCTGTTCTCTGGGACTGGGGATTCCTGAAGGTCAGTCTTGCTAGTAAAGACTAAGGCTAAGGTGGCATTCAGTACTGCAGCCTTTTCCATCTCCTGTGTAACCAGACCCCTCATTTTGTTGAGAAATGGGTCCATGTTTTCCCTAGTATTCTTTTTGTCACCTACGTAGTTATAGAAACCCTTTTTGTTGTGTTTGATATTCCTGACAAGATTAATTTCCGTCTGGGCTTTAGCTTTCCTAACTGCATCCCTGGATGTTCAGACAATGTTTCTGTATTTCTTCCACGTTACCTGTACTTCTTTCACCTTCTGTATGCTTTTTTGTTTGATTTTTTTTTTTTCTAGGAGCAACTTGTTCATCCATACAGGCTTCCTGACGTTTTTGCCTGACTTCATATTCATTGGGATGGAACTCTCTTGAGCTTGGAGGATGTGGTCTTTGAATATGATCCATCTTCCTTGGACACTTCTTCCTTCAGGTCCTTATCCCATGGGACTACACCA